AAGAATTACTCAAACTTCCTATTGTTTGGCCTTTAGATGTGGAAACTCATCCAGGTTGCCTGTTTTTAAACTAATCAAGTTTTCCACCTGCTACACCTTAAAGGAGTCCACAAAAGTCTTCTGGCCAGTTTTTCAGATTCTACTATGTAGTCTTTAGATAAAGAAATCCACCTATGTCTCCTATTCAGAGATTTGATTAGCAAGGAATTTCCTCTTCTGTCTCCCAGGATGATTCAGGCAGAAAAACAAAACCCATTAAGTAATAGATAAGGTTTAAGGGACTTCTATCTTAGTTGATCTCCACTATAGTAATATTTGTCATAGACTTTGTGCACTTATGTACCTGTTTTTAACCTTAATCGATTTTGGAATGTTATATCTCAGCTAAAGGGCAATACGACCCTAAACTGTTCTTAGAAAAAAAGATGATTGTAATCTCTCAGCCCAGTTTGTGTGCTGATGTCATCCCACTGCTTGCTCCTAATGTATAAAATAAACCTCTGCTGAAGGCAGAGCAGAAGACTTGCACCCAACTCCAACTCCCGTGTCTTCCTTGCCCCCCTTTCCCCTTTTTCTCCTTCTCCCCTTTTTAGGAATCTCCACTCGCCGACGCCTTCCCACCTTAAGGCCCTGCCTGTCTTGCCTCCAGACACCTCAATAGTTGGAGCTGGTCTCCGACAACTGATGTCACTTTTAAGAGTCATGGCCTCACAGCCACCTGCTGGCCACCAGTCACAATTCAAGGGTTCACCCTCACTTGGAACCTCAGAAAATGTGCGCCCCCACCCCAGGGGCTCCCGTTCTGCACTCACCTGGGTGTATGAGGCAGGAGTCACACTCATTCTCCTCGTTCCTGCAGCACGGGATGGTGTAGCCTACCACTTCCTTCCTCCCAGGGCACACGCATTTGATCTGGTCATATTCACAACACTCCCGACACATGATATTCCACTCCGCTCCGGGGCAGCCTTCATTAATGACGGTGTACTCTGAAACGGAAGCCAGCAGGTAAGCGACAAGACCCGGAAGTTGCAGCTGTTATGAAGCCACCTTGACCTCCTTGTGCCCTGCCTGTTGATAAAGACCCTGTGAATTTTCCCTAGGCCAACGTCATTAGGATAGTGGGTGCTGGTGGGTCCCGGGTATGCGCCGATGGAAGAATAACAGCCGCAGGCCAAACCTGAGAGCAAGCAGTGTGGATTTATTGAAGCAAGAGGTAAGAACCCCTGAAGCAGGAGTTCAGGGAGGGTTCC